CAGTGGTTACTCTGCCAGCTAGTTAAATGCCACCCTTAAACAGAAGATAGTCTGGCAAATCCCTATTGAAGCTAATGAAATAGTAATCAGAGAGGCAGCTGGATTTTTTCCTGGAGACGAAACTCTGGTTGTGTAGATCAGTAAAAGCTGAGAAGACAACTGAGGGGTTATGGCCAAGGTGACTCTCTGGTAAAGACCCAAGGTTCCTCAGTGGAAGCTGGGTCCCGACAGCCTGACTGGGTAACCAGTAGAAAAATCTCCACTTCTCCTTTGTCCTTACCTGGATTTCTGTGAAATGAGAAGTAACTCTCTCAGAGATCTTCTGGTATCCTCTGTTCCAGAGTGGCCAGAGACAATACTACTATAGCCCTCTCGTAAGACTCCATTAAGAGTTGAGCTGCATGTTTGGACTTTTCTCTCTGCTAGCAAGTTAGAACCCTCGCATAAGTTTTTATGCAACTTGCTGAAGTTAACTTTAGAACTCCTTGGCTAGCTAAACCCCTTGTAACTAAGCCCTTTGTCAGTAATCCACCCCTCCATCCTGAAAGTCAGCCTGAGTCAGCTTGCAACAACTGTTTTTCTTTCACAGAGGAGAATCACTATCAACTAGCTATTTACACTTGTGACTTGAATATGCTAACTAGAATAAAAAAGGAATTTCAATCAGCCTTTCTCTTCTTTCATGTGCATGTAGGAAACTGATAAATGTACCTAACATGTAAATTGTGGTTGTTAGGTGATGGGTATAAGTTTTACCTGTGAGCTTCAGAGACTTAGAAGTTTTATGGTAGATTTTGACTAAAACTTAGCATTGTCTTGCTGCTAATGAAGATTGACTAGGTGGTTAGGTATATAATTTGATTATATCTCTAGAGATTTTTTTTTTTGAGCCTGGGAAGTGCTCCAATCACTTTCAGTTTGTCCATTCTCTTTCAAAGAGTTAGAAAGCAGTGGTTTAGATCTCTTGATTATTGTTTATATTATCAATACTTCTGTCTATAAACATGACTGATACAGCTGAAACAATTATACTTTTTGCTAGAATAAAGAGTATATGTTTCTGGGAAAGATAGGGTCATGAGCCGGTAAGTGTAGCTAGTAAAACCCAACCTATCTTCTTTTTTTTTTTTTTCCTCATTGAGTTTATTGGTACATTTTAGGTATACAGTACAGTTACATTCATTATTGGGATCTTGTACCTTTACATGACAGGTCTTGGTTCCCATTTTTTCCCCTTGTCGCAGCCCTCCCTTCACCCCCTCCTCCCCTCCCCATTTAAAAACACTTTGTTTCCATTTTTTCATTTTCTCATATTTTTTCCCTTATTCTCTTTCCCCTACCCTTCCCACTTTCCCTACACCTTTAGCCCTTTTCTTTCTATTTCACATTGTTAATTATCTCATTAGGATCTCGTGTACTATTATAGTTTTTCACACCAGAAAAATTATTCGGGATTTATATATGTGTGACTTATTCAGTATATACTTTAGTAAAAATTGTTTTCCTGGTATTTTATAATCGCGATGAGGTGGAAGTCAAAGGGAGAAAACAAAGGGACCAAAAAAATGACTGCCTTGGTTGTGGCCTTGAAAAGAATAGATCCTTAGTCTGATTCTCTGGGTTCCAAGAAGAGCTGGATGACTAAACGCACCTGTTACCACTGCAGAAATCCAGGCCACTTTAAGAGGGTCTGTGGTAAAAACCATCATAAAAAAGCCCTCCACCCCCACCCTGTGCCATGCCCTGATTATAAGGGTGACCACTGGAACTCAGACCCCCTCCTGAGGCAAAGGCTCCAAGGAATCATCTGGTCCAACGACTGAAGGGCCCCGGGGCACTCTGCCTTCTCCCTGTGTCCAGACTGTTATCTCCAAAGGTCAATGAAGGAGCCCTGGGTAGCCATGACTATAGAGAAGAAAGAAAACAGCCTATTGTTGGACACAGGCACACTTCTCTCAGTCCTTCTCTTCAACCCTGGCCTTCCTTCCAGCCATCGTACTTCAGTGAAAGGAGTCACTGGAGAGCAGACTCTTTCACAACCACTAGGCTGTAACTAGGATGGCTTTCTTTTTAGACATTCATTTTAAATTATGCCTGAATTATGCCTCCAGTTCCCTTCCTGAGGAGAGATAGTTGATCTTGTTTGAATACTGGAATATATATGCACACAGGTCAGGTATGCTGCTTTCCCCTTGTGGAGACAGAAGTAAATCCTGAAGTATGGGCAACTAAAGGAGCTACTCTGGTACAAATACATCTCAAAGATCCTACTGTATTTCCTCACCAAAGACAATATCCTTTAAGGCCTAAGCTAAGAGAAGAGTATTTCTTATAACCAATAATTTAAGAGCATGAGATTTACTTAAAGTATGTAATAGCTCTTACTACACTCCAATCTTGGAAGTTCAAAAACCCAATAGAGAATAGAGGTTGGTACAGGACCTTAGTCTGGTAAATGAGGCAGTGGTGCCAATTCACCCAGGGATACCTAACCCATACACTCTCTTTTCTCAGCTCCTGGAAGATGCTGGTTGTTTTTCAGTATTAGATTTAAAAGATGCCTTCTTTAGGATTCCTTTACATATAGGTGTCCAGTTTATTTTTGCCTTTGAAAATCCTCCTGACCAGCCCTCTCAACTGACTTGGACTGTGCTTCTTCAAATGTACGAGACAGTCCTCATCTTTTCTGACAAGTGCTTTCCCACAAATTCACAAGTCACAGTCTTACAATAGGTAGATGCTATACTGTTATGTGCCCACTCAGAAGAACTCTCTAGCCAGGGTAGCCATATTCTGCTAAATTTCCTACCAGACAAGGGTTATAAGGTTTCTAGGTCTAAGGCACAACTTTGAGGTAAAATACTTGGGCCTTATCATATCTAAAGGAACCTGAAAGCTAGGAGAAGAGAGAATTAAACCAATACTTTCCTTCCCACAACTCAAGATACTAAAACAGCTAAGGGGATTCCTAGGAATTATAGGATTTTGTTGCCTTTGGATAACAGGTGTAGTGAGATTGCACAACCCCACTATCAACTTATAAAAAGGAAGATACCCACATTTTAACCTAGGAACTTGATTGCCAAACTACATTCCAGAAGTTTAAAAAAGTGCTTCTAAATGCCCCAGCACTGAGCCTACTGACAGGACACCATTTCTATCTGTATATTGATGAAAGGCAGGGTGTGGCTTGAGAGTGTTTACACAGGATCAAAGACCTGCCCAACACACTGTAGGGAACCTGAGTCATGAATCAGACATTGTAGCAAAGGGATGGCCTCTGTGCCTTGGAGTTGTAGCTGTGGTGGCTTTCCTAGTGTTGGAGGCATCTAACCTGACTTTAGGCAAAGATTTCACTGTTTATATCCCTCACAATGTGGCAGGACTTCTTTCTTGCAAAGGGAGCCTATAGTTATCAGATAGCTGACTTCTTCAATACCAGGCTTTACTTCTAGAAAGACCAGCTATTCAAATAAAGATATATTCCTCCTTAATCCCTGCCACCTTTCTACCAGAGAAGGAGGAAATTGAGACTAAAAGACTTGACCATGAAAAAGTAATTCTCCATACATACACAGCCAGAGAAGATTTGTTAAACACACCCCTTGCTAATCCTGATTTGACCCTCTTCTATGATTGCAGTTCCTTTATAGAAAATGGCAAAATATCCAATAACGACTCTACCTCAGACACTTGAAAGTTCCTTACTTGTCCCTGGGACTAGTGCCCAAATGACAGAACTCATAGCTCTGAGCAAGGCTTTACAACTCAGTGAAGGACAAAAAGTCAATATTTATACTGATATGCTTTCCTAGTATTGCATGCCCACATAGCCATTTGACAAGAAAAAAATTATCTAACAGCCAATAGATCTTCCATATAATATTATAAAGAGATAAGCTTTTACTATCTGTCTATATGTTCTGCAAAGTGGTGGTGTCACTATAGAGGACACCAAAAAGGTGTTGATGAAATATCTCAAGGTAACCAACTGGCTGACAGCATCAAAAGAAGCTGCTCGAGGGCTCCCACTTCAGGCAAGGGAAGGGCCCCTTGATCATAGTTGACCCAGATATTCTCAAACAAAAATCAAATAGGCACAATCCCATGCATGTCAATTCTTCCCCTTGGGGTGGTTACAGTCAGATGATGGTAAATTGTTCCTTCCTGGTCCTAGTAAATGGAAAAATATAAAATCTTTACATCAAAACTTTCACATGGGGAGAGAGAAGACCCACCAGCTGGCCTCAAAGTTATACATAGGAAAGAGACTTTCTCAGACAATACAACAGGTAGCTAATAAGACATGTGACCATTGCTCGAAGAATAATCCCCTTAACCAGACCATAACTACTCCGAGTGTACAGAGACTTGGTAAATATCCTGGAGAAGATTGGAAGCTTGATTTTACTCATATGCCATAAAGTAAGGGAATCCAATACCTACTGATCTGGGTAGATAATTTCACAAACTGGGTTGAGTTTTTCCTTATAAAACAGAAAAAGTACAAGAGGTGATAAATGTTTTGGTTTCAGAAATCACCTGCAGATTTGGACTTCTTAAGAATTTAAAGAAAAGGGGCTGAGGGTAGCTTGACCGTGGTGGTGGCATTGTTCAATCAGAGCGAGAACATTCCAGGGGTCATCACGCTCAGGGCACTGCTGGTGTGGAATTGGACGTTGCTGGAACACCTCTCCCGCTGCTTGCCTCTGCTCGTGCCCACCCTGCCGCTTGGCACCTGGTTTCTAGAACCTCTTCCTCTCAGTCCAGAGCGAGCTGCTTAGGTTTATGTCTTTGTTTGATGAAAACAAGCTGTTGTGCAGCCATTGGCACCTGTATTGGGGAAACATAGTATACAGCCTCAATGGCGAAAACTTTTTTCATGTCAGAGACGGAGAACTCTTGCAATTGTTCATGTCATCCCTTCTTTTCCAGACAGAAGATACCAAAAAGTTGCAAAGATCTCTTCATCTTATTGATAAAGTCACTAATAAGCCAAAATGTCTGTCAACGTCAATCACAGTGTTTCAGACCAGTTCTACCGGTACAAGATGCCCCATCTGATTGTCAAGGTTGAGGGCAAAGGAAATGTAACGAGGACAATTATAATCGACATGGTTGGTGTTGCAAAGGCGCTTAATTGGCCTCCAATGTATCCCACCAAATGCTTTGGTTATGAGCTGGGAGCACAGACCCAGTTTGATGTAAAGAGTGACTGTTACATTGTCAATGGATCTCGCGAGGTAAATAAAGTGCAAGACATGTTGGATGGAGTCATTAAAAAATTTGTTCTCTGTCCTGAGTGTGAGAATCTGAAAGAGATCTGCATGTGAATCCCAAGAAGCAAATAGGTAATTCTTGTAAAGCCTGTGGCTATCAAGACATGCTTGACACACATCCTAAACTCTGCACGTTCATTCTGAAAAACCCACTTGAGAATAGTGACAGTGGTACAGGAAAGAAGGAAAAGGAAAAGAAAAATAGAAAGGGCAAAGACAAGGAAAATGGCTCTGTATCAAGCAGTGAGACACCGCCTTCAACACCCCCAAATGAAATCAGTCTTCCCACACACACAGTGGAGGAGGAGGAAGTTGAAGCCCGGGGGAAAGATAGAACTGAGGAAGCTCAGAGGTGCAGAATGGATGAAAGCAGTGACCATGCAAAAGTTCTGACACACACTGATGATTTGGAAAGAACCGTAGAAGAGCGTGTGGATATCCTGTTTGATTTTGTTAGGAAAAAGAAAGAAGAGGGCTTTATTGACACACCTGACAAAGAAATTGTTGCTGAAGCAGAAAGAGTAGATGTAAACCATGGCCCTCTTCTTCTGACTGAAGTTCTTTTTAATGAGAAGATTGGAGAACAAATTAAGAAATACAGGCACCATTTCCTCCAATTCTGTCACAACAAGAAAGGTATCTTCTTCATGGTCTGGAGTGTGTGGTGGCGATACATCAAGCGCAGCTCCTCTCCAAGATCCTGCATATCTTGAAAGAGATGTACGATGCAGACTTTTCGGAAGAGGAGGTCATCATCAGCTGGTTGGAAAAGGCCTCTAAGAAGGATATTTCAAAAGAACTTGCCAAAGAGATTCGTGTCAAAGCGGAGCCATTTATAAAATGGTTGAAAGACGAGAAAGAATTCTCTGGTGGTGAAGAAGATGATGAAGATGGGAACACTGAGATGGTTTACCCGAAGACTGCTGGTGTACCAAAAGTTTAAACTGTGAAGTCCGACAAGGATGATGACATTGACATCGTTGCCATTGAAAAGGAAGGATGCGACCCAAGCTAACAGTGTAATGATGCAAATTGTTCTCCATTATCAGCCAGAAGTGCAACATGTATGTGCAGAAGCTAAAATGCTTAACATCGTGCTGCACTTTACACTAACATCTATTACTGTGAGTGTTCTGTAATTAAGCCCAGTGAGACATCTAGGGAGTCCAAACACATCAGGGAGCAGATGTATTGCTTATTTTGAGACATCTAGGGAGTCCAAACACATCAGGGAGCAGATGTAGTTTGCTTATTTATAGCATGTTTCTTTTGGAAAACCTAGTGGTGGACATATTTGGATCACATTTCTACAGTTAAAAAATAAAGATTTGATTTTGATCATTCTTCAGATTTTCGGCTCTGAATGACACTAAGTAATTGGCCCCTGTTTAAAATGTTGCACCATCACTTATCCTTTTGGGTCGTTGGAGCCTGGTGGGTTCTGCTAAGCACTGAGATGTAAACACAGACTAACTTGGAATTACTTTATTCAGCCTTTTTAAAAAACAGCACTTTCCATGTTTGATCTCTAGTCCCTCAATTTGGCATATAGCAATTCTGGGATAGATTGATAATCTGATGACAGTTCAACATCTTAACTAAAAAGTAAAGTGACCTGAGTGTCCTATAAATAATTTTTTCAGCTTTAATTGAGTTTATTGGTACATTTTAGGGATACAGTACAGTTACATTCATTGTTGGGATCTTGTACCTCTACATGACAAGTCTTGATTCTCATTTTTTCCCCTTACCCCTGCCCTCCCTTCACCCCCTCCTCCCCTCCCCATCTACAAACACTTTATTTCCTATAAATAATTTTAAGAGCAAATTTTGAAACTTGGAACTGTGATTTTTCAGTTCATGTACACTCGCCCTGATTGTAGTCTTCAATGTGCATTGCACTTTGGGATGAGCCAGGGAAATTATAAATTTGCAAACAAGTGTTCCATGTGTATGTAGTGGTTGTATTGAAAAATTCAGACTTTAGGTGTGATCAAATAAAACTTACGTATTTGGGGCAAACAGGTGCACTTAATCTGGCAAAAGCAGAGCATAGTGTTCCAGCTTTTATTGTTAAGATTTAAATTATATTTCAAAATATTTAGATATATTATATCCTATGTTGAGTGTTTTTCCCCTACCCTGTGGTGTTAAGGTTTATTCTTTAATGCCTTTTATTTCTGAACACATAGCATAGGCATTTTATATTTTGGTTGCTATTTTGCCAAAATAAATGTTACTTTGTGTTAAGCCTGAACCCCTCCCTTGTCTTAATTAAAGAGAAATGAAGTTTAAAAAAAAGAACTTAAAGAATGATAATGGGCCTTCTTTTAAAGCAACCATCACACAGAGTGTCTCTCCAGCACTGGTCATTCTCTATCACCTTCATTGTCCATGGAGACCACAATCATGAAGAAAAATTTTAAAAAATGAGAACCCAAAGAGACATCTTCAAAAAATGGCACAGAAAATACACCTACAGTGGCCTCATTTAACTGACAATGTGAAATAGGAATAAAAGGGCTAAAGGTGTAGGGGAAGTGGGAAGGGTAGGGGAAAGGAAATAAGGGAAAAGAAAAAAATATGAGAAAATGGAAATGAAGTGTTTGTAAATGGGGAGGGGAGGAGAGGGTGAAGGGAGGGCAGGGGCAAGGGGAAAAAACGAGAACCAAGACCTGTCATGTAAAGGTACAAGATCCCAATGATAAATGGAACTGTACTTTATACTTAAAAAGTACTAATAAATTCAATGGAAAAAATAAGAAATACACCTCAAATTCTAGGCATTGGTCCATTTGAAAAGCTTTATAGATGCCCTTTTCTCACTAATGATTTTCTCTTTGATAGAGAATCAGATGACTTACTAAAAGATGTCATCTCACAGGCTAAATTCCAGCAGACTTTTCATCAGCTAATGGAAGCTCAGCCTAGAGAAAAGAGAAATCCCATATTCAACCCAGAGATTTAGTACTGATAAAATCTTTCCTCATCATCCCCTTCCCTAGGACCAACTTGGGAAGGACCATACACAGTGATCCTACCAACTCCATCAGCTGTCAAGATAGGTTGACTCCTAGACACATCATAACTGACTCAAGCCCTCAGAACCAGAGACTGTTGCTGTGTGTGAGCAACCATCCAAATACTCCTGTGAACCCATAGAAGACTTATTTAAATTCTTGCTCAAAAAGAAAACAAAGCCTTCAGATAAGTTAGATGTTACTCTTAGCCCTTTTACTAATTACTTTACCACTTTAAAAAAGAGTACAATTCCTTTCTACTCTGGGCACAAGCATACGCAGAGTCATTCTTGCTGGATATGTGGCCTGCTCTCCTTGTCAGTTACATCAGGACTTCTTTGGTGGGTATGCCCACTTCAAGGAGATAACTGGAATAATCTACAAGACTACATTGATGAGATACAGAAAAGTTCAGTGATTCATAGTTTAGTCCCCCATTACAAGGTAACTGAGTGTCCTATAAATTACACTATTCGTGATCCTAGATATAATTATATTTTTTTCTAAAAATGCAACTCAAGCTTCTCTACAAACAGTAATAAAACCCTTATTAAATAAGAATAAGGGTCCTATAATGAGAACAAACAATCAGAGATAAAGATGGCTACTCTCAAATATGGAATGATTTATATGTGGTTAACTCCAATTGTAAGATAACTTAGAAAACAGGCCCCATTATATTAGAAACAAAAACATTACTTTTATTTTCATTAGCCTAATTCTAATAAATACTTGGGATGGACACCCCTCAAACAGTGCATACACACCATAACTTCACAGATCAAAGACTGATTTACAACAGACTGACTTAATCACCCTGCAATTAGATGGGAAGCCCCCAGTGGCACTCATTGGTCCTGTGGAACCAATCTGTGGCCCTAGCTATGCCCTAGATAGCTAGGGGGATGCATGCTGAGACTTGCATAGATATAAAGCAAGAGTTTCAAAAATATCAACAAACCTACAAATCTTCTCCATCTATAACATTGATGGTCTAAGTGGGTTTGATTGGTATGATTATTTTTCTTCTAACTTTGTCCCTTCTCTACAATTAAGATGTCATACAACCCATTGAGACCTTATCTAACTATGCCCAATGAGCCTTAAATGACACTTCTCCTGGTGTCTCTATCCTAAATGAAAAAGTAAAATTAATGAGACAGGCTGTCTTCCAAAATCAGATGCCATTAGACATACTAACAACAGCATAAGGGGATACTTGTACAATCATAAAAGCTAAATATTGTGTATACATTCCTGTTCCATCTGCTAATATCTCAATGGCTATTCAAGATATTAAAGGACAAGTTAATACCATATCAGATTTTAAACATCCCTAGACCATCTCCTTACCCTCTTTGTGGGAGGCTATTACTGGCTCTTCCTGGTAGAAACATTTGTTGGTTGTATTCATAATAGTCTTGTTGATTATATTATTTGGCCCACTCATATGTAACTGTTTCTTTAGACTTGTCTGCTCCAGACTCAAGGATATATGACTACACAAGACTAAAATGCCTGACATCTATCAAGGATCTTTAGATAGACCCTCTAGAAAGTATCTCTGACTTCCAATTACAACTATAACCCCTTTCAGCCTAAAGTAGCCATAATGGTCATTACCACTTTACCCCTCATGTCAGTTAGGGGTACTTCTTTAGAGGGAAGAATATTATAGATAGCTAACCTAGGCATAAATATTATAGGCAGTCAGACATAGGCTAGGCCCTTGACAGAGTTAGGACAAAGGTGAAAACACATTACAACTGTGGCCAGAGATGTATCTGCTGTAGGCCAGGCCTCAAGACGAAGACAAAATGACCAGGCCTAAGATAAGTGGTAACATCTGGTCTAATACAGTCTAGATAGACATCAATCACCTCCATAGGTAACCAAGACTCTTGGACTCATCCCATCCTGAAAAGTTCTTTGTTCCTTCCCATGTACTCTTACTCTGTGACTTGCATCCCCATTAGATCAATGTTGCCTAAGCAACTATACTTACAATCTTATTGGTTGATCATAGCTGTAATTCACATTGTACCTATGTGGTTGTGTGCTATAAAATTTCCCCTGAGAAGTGAGGTCCGCAGCAATCCACTTTTGGATCCCCTCCTGCCTCGCAAGAACTATATATTTTCCCTCAATAAATATTTGCTACTCTTAACCTCTGTTCTTCCTTAAAATTCTTCTTCGATTTTTGGGGGAACATAAACTCAGCATGTCAGACATCTAGCAGGTTTCAAGTTATAATATTTCCTCTGTATCATTTAGAGGTCCTATATCAATTCCTATGTCAAAAATATTTATCAAAACTTTTTGCTGAAAATTGATTTTTGACTTCTGCCACTTCCATTCCTTAACTAGAAAATGGAGAAATTTGACTATATATCGATTGCCTTTATGTTTTTCTTTGTTGGAAGTATTGTTCTTAAACTGTAACTGGCACTGTAAAATGGAACTTTAAAAGATTTTTTTTCCTTTGAAGTAAAGTGGTTTCCAGACTTTTTCTGGCCTGGGGAATAAATGGATCTGCCACCTTTCTTTTGCCCAGAGGAATGGACAAATTTGCAGATCCTGGTACCTAGAAGTCAACTCCAATTTTGTTCCCTTAGGCAAAGGAGAGAGAACTCTTGAGTCTCAGAAAGGATAGAATGTCAATTGTTCAATCATGTTTCCTCCCACACTGTTCCTTATTATAAAAGATCCTTTCTCATCTGTACATGGAGAGGTGGTTATATTATAGGGAGATAAGTTAAGTAGAAATTAATAAGCAGTCAGACAGGGACAGGCCATCAAAGAAATCAGTGCAAAAGAGGAGAACATATCAAAACTGTGGCCGGAGGTGCATCTAAAGAAGGCAAGGCCTCAAGATTAAAAACACAATGGCTAGACTTCATACTTCTCTAAGGAATAAATGGAAAGTTAGAATTATACTGTAACTGGTACCACCCAGTCCATTAAGTTCAGATAGCATCAGATACCCTGATGAGTG